GGTTGTACAGGAGAGGAGATGATTTATTTGGGTGTAGTGGGTGAGAGCAGTTCCTTTGTGCCATTTCTAGAACTGGGCCTCACCTCTCCAGCACAGGCATTGCTGGGTGGACTTGGTTCAACCCCTCGGGGAAGGTTTACAGCATGGCGCGGCTGGCAGAGCTGGTGCATATGCTCCTCCAGCATGCATCCATGCGTTAAGAGGGGATAGTTTTCTCTTTCGAATGAATCGCAGTCCTCTCTGCACGCTGCCCACCCTTGTCGTAGACACCCTTTGAGATGAGCAGCAGAAGAGCAGAATACTGATTAGATGTAAATTACATGGCAGAGACTCGTTACTTGCCTAATTTTAAATCCTGAGATATGCAGCGTGAAAGTGATGGCAGAATATGGCCCTGAGCTTGGATGGAAATGGTCCACAGCATCACAAGTGAGGAAAATGCTTCGTAAAGGCAGCAGTAATGCCAGTGGCAGCGGTAAGCGAAAGCAATGGAGCAATTTAGGGCAAAGTTCTCCGTGACTGGTTAGGAAAGAAAATGTACATCCATCGCAGATGTTATAAGTGTTTCCTAAGTTGCCATATCAGCTGCCTGAGCACAGCATACAAATTTCAGCCAGTTTGCCAATTAGACCCTCGATCGTGCAAAAGCTGGGATTTTTGATAGCTGACGGAGCTTCTATTAATTCTTTGCAAGGTCTAATGTGCTGTACTGGCAACAACACTATTGTTGGTTCTGGTGGGTTTGCTGGCTTTGCAGTAGAAAATTTCTTATAATGATTCTTAAGGGCAAGTGAATTAATTACATTGAGATTTCAGACTGAATCTGTTCTTCTCTTGTCATAACCCCATTTCTGTGCTCTGGCAGCATATGGGAAGTAACACTCCATGGTACCTGGATGACATGTCTGCTGAGTAGCTTGAAGCAGTTTTCGGCTGATTGTGTCTGATGGTGTTTGCAGAATGTTGTTGGAACCAGATCAACTCTCTGCAGATTAAAACCAGTTGCAGTGTCTACGCCTGGATCTATTGTTCAAGTGACAGACTCCCTGAACTCATTATAATTTAGACTAACAGTGACAGTTCCTGCTTTTAGCAAAACTCAGCTGACTCGGGATAAAATGAAATTAAGTAAGTGTTCAGTAACTCCGAATAACCAACAGAATTTGAAAATAATTCAGCAGAATTGCAGTGTACTACACCAGTGGTCCTAGACTGTGGTCCTCAAGTCAAGGTAAATGACCCGTAGCTGGTCCCCATAATCATATTAAATCATGTTTTCCGTTAGACCCTCGCTGAGAACTGGACATAGGTGGTGATTCTTGAGAAACCTTGAGTGTTGATGAGAAATACAAGATGTTTGGGAAATACTGGTTAAGTAGATGCCACAGCTTGTTACACCTGGCTGTGGTAGGTCCTGCATGTCCTGTCTGCACTCACGTGGGATGGCTTCCCATCATGCAGCCCTGCCCAAAGAGAGCACACGCACACCTCCTGCTTGAAGGAAGAAGTTAGGACAACTGCTATGTGCAATTGTTTAGGGCTGAATGGATGTGCTGAGATGTGAAAACTGTTGTTTTTCACATTAGTTTCTTTAAGCTAGATCATTTCCTCTGCTCATTTGTGTCAGGAAAGGGCTTCAGAGGCAACGTACAGCTGCAACCAGAGGACAAGAGTCTCCCATCAAAGTGGAAAGCTGTATTACAGCTGGCAGTATCTTAGCACGGTTTCTCTCCCTTGGGACAAAATGCATGCTGTTAATCTAGGAAAGGTCCATTTAAGAATTTAACCCAAGTGGGGCGGTGTTATGTCAACAGTGAGAAAGGGGGAGGCAGATGACTGAGCTCGGACTGTGAGGGACGACAATTAACAGGTTTGAACAGGATCCTGGGGAAAGCGGTGCTCGCTAGAGCAGGAGTCTCTGGTGGAAAAACAAGGACGAAGTCAGGACTGGTTAATACATATCTACTGTATTTATTAATCAGTCAGATTATATAGCTGGTGACAGAATATGGTCAAGTGCCAAGAAAGTCACATCTAATTTAGCAGCCTGGGAATAGTGAACTTTGGCATTTGTCTCCTGCTGTCTGCTTCCCCTTTCCTGAATTTCTTTGTCTTTTTCTCTTTTTTCCCCACTTTCTTTTCCTTCTGTTCTTTTGTCTCAAATTATTTCTCAAAGCTTTTTCCCTTTTTTGTAATGAACCAGCCAGGGCAGCCTTGGATTATTCCCCTTTTTTTAGTTTTGCTCAGTTCAGCTTCCTTAGATGCTCCTTTCCTGGCCCTCATCGAGTCCCTGGATGAAATCCCAGCTGCTTTGAGAGTTTGCCCCTCACTGGGCAGAGATTTCTCCTCTGTCTTCCGTCAGTTTCCTCTCTGTATCTGTGTTTTTTCCAATTACTCAAACCATTCATCTTGCCCATCCCATCTGCTCGCTTGCTCTCATACTCAGCTATGGTTCGGCGTGAACTCAGCAGGCTGTATGATTAATTTCTGCTATTAACTGTTTCACTTGTCTGGCCACTTCTAAGCTTCTACAGAAAGCAGGCTCTGTAAAGCACAATATTTTAGAGGACTGGTGAAAGGCAAGCTGCAATCTCCACTTGACCCTATAGCGTTGTTCAGCAGCGAAGCACAACCGTGACATACCGAGCTTTCTGGAATCTCATTTTGTTGGATTTTACTTTACCACCGCTCGTAAATGGAAGGAGCCACATTGCACTGGTAGCCCGGGCATCAGCTTCTTTCTGACCTCAAGCAGTAAATGCTTTAGGCAGCAGGGTAAGGCAGACAGGCTGGTATGCCAGCTCTTGAAGTTAGTAGCTTGAGTTGTTTACATGCAGGGACTCTGCGTGGCACAGTTGACACCTTTTCCACAGGCCATCGATAGCTGTTTCTTCCCTCCAGCCTGATCTTGAGCTTGAGCTTCGCACTTGAGCTGAGTAGAGAAGAAGTAGGATGTGAACCCACATGAGCCCTGGCTCATCGCACATTGTAGACCCACCCGTAGGTTTCTCTTAGAGGTCTCTTCTAATAATGTTGTAGGGCAGCTTCTTCCAAGGAAATCACGTGAACGCTAACAGGAGAGACCAGTTGGCTTTGCGTCTGTCCCAGGATGGCTCCACCAGAGCCTACTGCCTACATCTGTCTTTTATAACTTTTAACATAAGAAGTACAAGCTCTGAAATGCCTGTGTGTGTTTCCATACATTACTGTTGTGTTGGTACAGTTGGCTTATTGATAGGGATGAAGAATATTTTCTGGGTCCAAAGATGAGAGGAATTATTTATACATGAAGAAGAGCCTGAAATTCAGACCTCATGTTCAGGGTCAGAGAAGAAGAAACTGAAATACTGAATGTATTTTACCTGTTGCTACAGAGCATACAGGAGAAGAAAAAAACATTAGTTGTATTAATGTTTTCAATCAATGTCAGCATAGGTTAGCACTGACTCATTTCAGGAATTAAATTTATCATGCAATCCCTGAAGTTCAGGCTGTCTAACACAGAGAAATCAAATCCTCACTGCTCAGATGAAATCTCCAGGGTCTTACCATAAATAAAGCACATTCAAGAGTTTCTCCAGGAGATGGCAGCAATATACTGCAAGTATAACTGAATGAACACTGCAGGAGTCGTCTGAATATTGTGCGGTGGGGCACTAGGTTATTTTTAGATTTCTTCGTGTTAATCTTTTAATTTTTGTGTTGCCGGTACGATGGTATGCATTCAAAGTTCATAGCATAGAATATGCACTGGTGTGCTCCTGCTATTGGTCTGTTACTTGTCAATCTTTCGTCAGTGCTGGTAGTTTTAAGGAGGATGCAAGATGCTTAAAGCATCACTTTTAGTCTTACTCCCACAAATGTGTTAATGATAGGGTTTATTCTTAGGTGGCTTTTGGAGCTGTTCCTGGAGGAAGGCACCGTGCAGGCAGGGCTGCTGAGAGCAGGCTGGCAGCTAGCAGAAGCCCATAGAGGGCAGCAATATACTGAGCGCTGGCTGGGAGACGCTATGCCAATAGACGGGTCCCCTGACTTAAATAAATGACATTTTATTAGCTATAGATGCCACCAAAATAGGTGCTGCATGTGTATTTGCAGCCGAGCGATTTGTCTGGAGTTTGGAGGCAAAATGCCCCAGCCCAACCGCTCGCCCACCATTCGGGATCTCTCCCGACTTCCAAAAAATGACGAGCACGATCCATTGCCACCCACCAGAGTTTCAAAGTTTCCTCCGGAGGTCAACAAAATGTCCAGACTAATAAAATTACGTAAGGCGTCCAGGATGTGACACAACCTTAACAAAGTCATTTGAAATCATTTGACAGTAAATTTCCCCGTGAGTTCCTAGCCTGGGGCACGGAGAATCCTCTCCTCTCCTCTCTTCTCCTCCCTGGACGAGCTTCTCGCCGACCATCCAGATTGCAGCACGCCGAGTACGCGCGGGGTCTTGATGCGGCCTGATGGCCTCCTAAAGGCGATTCAGGAGCCTGGCAGAGCCCCTGCAGCTGAGTCGGCTTCCGTCAAGAGCTTGACATTGAATGTATCGTGTCATGCAGATGGTACCTCAGAGGAGTGAGAGCTGCCATTTACAGCACTGATGACAACAACTGCCGAGATCAGTGGGATCTTAAGATTGCTTTAATATGACTGGCACCTAGCAATTTAGCTCACATTGTTTGTGACAGGGTGTCACTCTTGCACTTGTCTGGAGATGAATGATAGAGGGTTTTAAAGCGTGGAGCTTCCTCTTTTGGAGGAAATTAAACCGCTGTATGTACTGATGCGGAGAATTAGATGCCTGCCGCAGCAGGGTGTGTTAAAGAGAGCTTTGCAAAACCATGGTAAAAAGTTTAGTTTGTCTCGTATGGGCAATGACTGTCAAAATTACCCCACCACCCCCAGTCCCTGTAAACACACCATCAGCGTACGGCATTTGTAAGCGCTTTGGATTGCCTTGTCGTGATCACCCGGTGCCATCTTAGCTTTGTGATTTTCTTCAGGTTAGTCAATATACATTTGCTATGTGCAGCTACCGGGAGAAAAAAGCTGAACCTCAAGAGCTGCTGCAGCTCGACGGATACACTGTGGACTACACCGACCCGCAGCCAGGTACGGGGGCCGACAGCTTGCTGCTGCGCCCGCAGGTGCTCGTGCTCGCCACGCTGCGTACGGCTCCCAAACGGGAGTCCTCTCTCTCTCCCTGCTTGCAGCTGAACTGTGATCAGCATTATTATAAATATGTTTGTGTTTATACTGATCATTAGCTATGCATGACTTTACTATAAATAGATCTAAGGAATTGAGCTAGGAGTTGCACCAGAGGAGGGAAAGACTCATCTTCTCTGGGGAGCCTAAGTGAATTAGACGCTTAAATCCCAGTGAAATTTGATTGTGAACTGAATGCTCAAATCAAGTGATGATCCTAACCTGTGCCTTCAGATTATAGTCCCTAAATAAAAGGTTAGCAGCTATGCCTGTCTTTATTGTAGAAAATATTTATGGGACCAACCCAGCATTTTTGCCTGCCCCATTTTCTCTCTGATAGATGTAAGTGAGTGGAAGGGGCAGAATTAGAAGGCCCCTTGGTACCTGGAGGTACCTGTTGTGTACATGGTGCTGAGACTCCTCTTCAAGTGGAGGAGCACCACATTTCTTTTATTTCGGTGGGGCGACACATTGCACATGGTGATCCTCACCATGCCCTGGATAATGGTATCCCCAGAGGAGGTGAAGAAAGACACAGTAGGTTGGTTGTCAAGACCTTGATTCCAGCTTAATTCCGATGTTAGGGAGATGGGAAGATGGGTCCCGAATCAGGGCAAAGACAGAAATAAGCACATCACCCAAGCACCTTTTGTGCAGTGTGAGCACTGGTGCACTCGCTTTAATGGGAAACCTCCCACCACGTCCCCTGAAAACTCATTTTTAATGGGGCTGCAGCGGTGCAACCTGCACGGGACGTGCACAGACGGGGCTGCAGGTGAGAGAAGCAATTAATCCGAGTGTGTTGGGGTATGTTTTAGTAATCACGGTGCAGGGTGCTACCTGGGGACCTGGCAGGCTCTCTCGCAGGTGAGTTTGGTGCAGAGGAGGGGACTGAGCTCAGCCAGGAGCCGGGGGCAGTGTGAGGCTGGCTGGGGGGACATGTGGGGCGATGGTGGGATGGGAAGCCGGGGGACGTCCCCTGGCTGGCCTCAAAGTCTGCAAAACCCCGTTGTCACTTCCTCTCCTGCCAGGTTTGGAGGGCGGCAGAGCATTCTTCAACGCTGTGAAGGAAGGAGACACGGTGATTTTTGCAAGTGACGATGAGCAGGACCGTATCCTGTGGGTCCAAGCCATGTACCGAGCCACCGGCCAATCTCACAAACCTGTGCCGCCTACCCAAGTGCAAAAGCTAAATGCTAAAGGAGGAAATGTACCCCAGCTAGATGCCCCAATCTCTCAATTTTGTAAGTAAATAAGTTCTCCTAGAGAGCAGAAGTCTTTGGTGGAAAGATTTTCTGCACTGATGTAAATCAATATTCGTACATGTTTCTGACTCCAAAATGAAATTTTTTTCATTGTCATTAAGCTGCTTTTTACAACAGTGGATCCAGACCCAGTTAACCTGTGTTTAACACAACCAAACCCGAGAAACAAAATTCCTTGGGGAACTTGTCAATGAGTATTTTAAAGTGCAATACTTGATGGAGGAGAGACTGCGATCTCAGAGCCTGAGACCCAGCTTGCTTTCTGCAGACGTGCATTTTACCCCCACACAATAAACTGCACACCCAGATCAGAGCGATTCATTAGCGCCATTAGCTGTCTATCAAATGCATCACGTGCTCAGAACTACAGGTGCAAATCTTGCAAGTATGAAATGCACACACAAAAAGAGGTCTCCTGTTGAATATTCAACTGTAGGAAAACATATGGTATTTTTAACAGGTTGCTTTGCAGGCCAGTTAGATGTGAATTTAAAGCAATCATCTTTTAAGTCGTAGCTATGCTGCATGTCCTGTGCAGTTATACCCAGTTTGCTTAATTTGAAATTCAGAGCAATTTCTTTTGTCTTGCAAATATAATTTGATTATAAACCAGACAAATGCCTCCTCACTCATTTTTCTTGAAAGTGTCGATCGCACGTCTGGAGCCTCTTTGTTATGTAACATACAGCAGTTCTTGCTAGTTTCAGCAAAATTTAAGAATTAGTATCATAAGGAAAATAAGGAAAAGTGGTTCAATATTAGCAAATTCTCCTAATTAAATCAGATTTCAACATTTAAAATAGTCCCTGTAAAGCTGTTATAGAGTATTTTGTTGTAAGGAACTCAGAAAATCTGCCCCTTGCTTATCAATATAATTTGATCACCTTTTATATTGGTTTAACTTCTTCATTTCAGTATTTATAGAAAGTAACAATGCAAGACATACATCTGTACTATCAGTGTTACAGCGGAAAACCTCTGCTTGCTGCTTTTTTCTTTTTTTTTTTTAATCCTCCATATGCCTGCATATTTTGGACTCCCTTCTGCCTTGCATTGCTGCTGCTGTCAGTGGGGACGTAGCGTGATGCAGTGTGGTAAACCCATAGTCAGTATTTTCATTTCAGTGACCCTCATGCTCTTCATCCCAGTCAGGTCACTGGCTTTGGGGGTGCAAGGTGTGAAGGATTGGGGTCGGGAAAGAAGGACGCCTCTCAGAAAGCCAAAATGGAAGGTGGGAATTGGGCTCTTGCAAGAGGGCAGTATACCGGCCGTGGTTAGCCTCTAGACCTGGCTGAGCTGTGCTGACCTGAGAGCATTCCCAGGGATTGTATGTCCCTCTGCCCAGGTTCTTGGACGTAGCAGGCACAGGTCCTTCTATGGCTGCTTTTTTACGTGCTAAAAGCCTTCAAAGTGTAGCAAGGGAGAACAGCAGAGGGATCTGCTCGTGGCTCCCTCTCCTAACAAGTGATGCTCAAGGATGCTCTTAGCTGTGTGGTTGGTGCAAAGAGGACGCACTCCTGTTTGTCCCAGCATGATCCCTGCGGATTAGGGTGAGGGCAGCGAGAGAATATCAAACTGGGGAATCAACTTTCCCTCCAGGCTTCTCCCATCCCTGCAGACATCAGGCCTGGAAAATTTTTCTGCTGGGTAAATTCCTGATGTTCATGGAGTTTTCACTTTGCCAGACCAATATGTGGGGTCAGGTGAAGGGTCCCGTTCCCAGACACATCGTAATTGCCTGGCAGCAGCTGAGGCAAAGTCTGCCAGGAATTTGGGAAGGGAAAGGGGATGCCTGGGGCCGTGGACCTTCAGGTATGTTGTCCCCATGCACAGCCTAGCACTGTGTGCGTGGAGAGAGCTGAACCCCCCTGCTTAGGTTACTGGGATGGAGAAGGGGCAGCTGGTTTGTCCTAGTCCTTGCCAGGGAGCAGTGAAGCCGGTGACTGAGCCCAGGAGTACTCTCTGCATCTAACCACAGCCCAGCACGTCCACCAGAGACTTGTGCTGCTCGTGGTCCTGCAGACCTGTATCAGCCTGCCTGTGCTCAAAGCTATAGAAATGCCACAGGTTTGACCTTGCTTTTTCCATCTCACTTGCCTGCCAGGAGGCAGGGATCCCTCATCCTCGCTTCTGGTGAAAACAGCTGAGATTTCACCCCCTGGTCCCTCCAGGGCATCTGAGGGGGTCAGGATCTGACCTCAGTTTCTCTCACTTGTTCTCATGCCGATACCAACTCCAAATCCAGATCATTCAGCTTTTTTTATGCCACCACTCTCTTTCCATCCACAAGGTGTTTTCCCCATAAGCTGGGAGGCTTCAGGCTCCCCTTTTTGCTGCAGGCACTGGGAAACCCTTTTGGTTGTGTTGTGCCAAAGCATGGAAGTGGGAAACCAGTCAGCTCCTCAGTCTGATGATGACTTGCTACTTCAGCATCCTCTGGGCTAGTGCGTTTTGTCCTCGGTCTTCCTTCCTCCTCCTCCCTTGGATCTAGATCCCTCTGAAAGCTTTTTGTGCACAGGACCTTAATCCGACAGGAGGAGGAGGGCAGCACGCCATAGTACACCTTCATCTCAACAGCAAGGCCTGCTCATTTCATATTTCAACATTTGTACATGGCAATGCTCATGGAAAAGTCATTGGGCGCAGCAGTTAAATGATCAGAAGCGGAAGTGAGTCATGCATGCCACACATGATGGCTTATCAGGAGTCTTAAATGCACAAATATGTATCTCAGCTCCTTCAGTCTTGAAATTCAAACATATCAAGTATTGCATTTTGAAAAGGGTCTTGGTTTGTTATTGGGTTTTTTTGGCTTGGGTTTTTTGGTTTGTTTGGGGTTTTTTTGCCTGCAGAAAGGTAAGGACTTTTGCGAGACATTTTATTCTTGTGCATTTATCTTTATACCTGTCATATTTTTTGTGCTTATTAGAGTCTATGGTGAATGAGGATGTGCAAAGAAGTAAATGTTAAGCCATTTGACAAGTAACTGTTGTTATAGCTTTCATGTTGTAGCAGTCCGAGATGGCACATGCGCATGCATGCACATGCAGAGAAAATCCGGCCCTCCGCTCCTGTGATGGAGCTGTCTGTTAAACAGAAACTTGACAAGAACATATTTTGCTGTTGGGGAAACTTTGGAGAAATAGTGAATTCATTTGGTTCCCACCTCTTTTGACTTAGTAAACACAAACTTCAGCAGCACTCAAATTCTCATCCGCACTTCGATAAGCAGCGCTTGACTTGGAAGTAAGCAGACAGCTCCGAACCAGGGTGGAGTTTATTTTATTTGCAATTTAAGTACTGAAAAAAAAATAGATCCTGCTATTCATTAATTTTTGTATGACTCTACAATTCCTTTTATGTGGGTGAACAATACCTGTTAGAGTGAAAAGTTTTGCTTTTTTTGTTTTGCTACAATTTAAAAGAAAAACTCCATTCACGCAAAGCTGTGCTTTTCTCCAGTGTTCGCGTTATGAAAGAAAAAACCCCAAACTGTTCTTGTTTACTGTTGAAATCATGCACAGTATTGTAGTCAATAATGCTGCCAATACATATTACACCTTTTGGCAATATTTAAGCTTCATAAAAGTGGTCACTTGTCTGAAAGCACCGATCTTTGTTCGTTCTGTGTTAGTGATGCATCAAACAAAATTCCCAAACATGCTCAACGTTCTTTTTTTTCTGAAACCCTTTTCTTTTTAACATGAAAGATTGGTCCGTACTTGTTTTACGTATCACTTGTGGTTATATTTCGTTTTTTAATGTCTGTTTATATTTAATGACTGTTAATCACACCATATACAAAGAGTTGGTTGGTTTGAGAATTTGTAATTATTTGTTCCCCCATAATAAGTAGCAAGGTTTATTGAGCTGCTTAAGAAATTCTCAGCTGTAAGTGGGTTTTTTTTGGTTGGTTTGATTTTCTTTAAGTTTCTTTTTCATTCTTTGCTTGAACCCAAATATTTAGCTGCTAGGTTAGGGCTCCTGTCTGCTTTCCTGAGCCTTGTTGCTAGTCTTTATGTTATTCTGGTTTGTTCCTTCTTACCCTGCTAACTTCTAGCTGGACTCAAGGGTAAGTGCTTCCCTGTAGCTAGCACAGCTCAGATAATCAGACTAGATTATCTGACATATGCAATGTGCTTTTTTTTCTCTTAAATCTTTCTCATGTTTAGATTTTGTAGTACAAACCTTCCATGTTATTTTCCTGAATTGAGGTTTGAAATGTAAGTTTCCATACTGAAATTAGGATGCATGTGATGTTTGCATAATTGCCTTCTCTCCCTGGCTTTCACATTGGCATCAAGTGATCCTTTTAGTAAAGCCAATCATTAACATTTCTATTTTTCATTCCAAGACGTAAATATTAATTAACATCACAATAAAACTGTAAATAATACCTTCTTTTGTTTCATGGAATTTACATCTAGTTGACTGCTTCCTGCCTGAAAACAGATCATTTTGCACTCTGACAATATCCTTTCTCTCCGTGCCGATGATTAGCTTGGTGCAGCGCACCAGTGTGCGGGGCTAACTGTGGACACCTCAAAGCGTAGAAAGGTAGGGCAGGAGACCCCGAGAGACCTAGACAAGGTGCAGGACTCCACAGGAGCCCCCCAAAAACCCCTCTGCACGTGCCTTGTGAAAACAAGCCTGACTCATCGAGGTTTGGTAGTTCCCTCTGCTGTAAACTCAGTAGGGGATGATTTCGGCAGCAAGTGGCAGCTCTCTGGGTCACCCCGGGTTTGGAGATGCTGATCCACTCCGACTTAAGTACATTAGTCACGGAGGGGTGCTGCTGTTCCCCCAAATTATCATAAATTAATGTTTTAGCGTGGGTCTCAATCACCAATCAAAGCAATGCTTGCCAACGAATAAGCCAGGGGAATTATTATTTTACCTTTTCCTACTGGAATACCTACTTTGAAAAAGGTAAAAGCACAAACTTGTTCTGTAAAAGAGCTTCTCCTTAGTCTTTGTTC